ACCGGGAAGGTGGGTCCCGGGCCTGCGCGGGCCCTCGCGGTGGCTGGCCCGCCCTGGCCTCCTGCCCAAGCGCGCAGACGCCCGGCCGGGGAGACTCAGCTGGGCGTGGGAGGCTGGATGGCGCTTCCTCCTGCCTCTGCATCCATGCTCGTCTTCCCGAGTTTTCTCCAACAATGGGTGTGTGTGTTTCAGCGGTCAGGAAACAAACTAAAAATGGAGTCATTTCTGGCTGCTTCAGAGTTTCAGTGAGTGTAACTGGAGCTAACAGTCAGCCTGAGAACAACTAAAATGACCAGTTTGGATACTGATTAAGGGAAATGGGGATGTGAGTTGGGTATTAGAAGAATACCAAGAAATTATGGATAATTTTGTGAGATAATGGCTTTTTCAGCCATAGACTATCAACAAAAATACCCATTTCCTAGGGATGGATGCTCAAGTATGCAAAGGGTGAAAATGGCAATCAATGTCTGTGAGTTGCTTTAAATGAATGATGTTACACCAGAGTTTTAGTTGCTGCTTTGTGTAAGAGACATGGTGGTCATTGACCTTTGTAACATGAGAATGCTTTGAACGCAAGGCTGTAGTTCTTTAAGAAATGGCAGAAACAGACCCAGGTGGGGAGGCTCCTGCCTACCCCAGCCTCTTTAAAGCATATCTAGAAAAGGCTTTGTAAAAAGTCCAGTGTCTCGCTCACTGGACTTTCCCAGGTTTATCATTTCTTTCCTGGATCTTAACGTTTCTTTCTCTTCACTTATTTCTGGCATTTTGCCCTGTGCAGGGCTAACATCCCTGGTGAATCAGAAAGTCACACACAAAATCAAATGAAAACTCTAAGTTCCTGTCTCCACCCTCGCCCCAATGGACTTTTCAAACTTCTCTTTAGGCTATTTGATGCCTAATAAGTAGTAAATGAATTCCTAGTTCTTCAAGCATTCTCTGAACCCTCTCAGGGGCTTTTTGCTGAGTTTGCAATTTTTAAAACAAGGCTGACAATGGGGGACAGTGGTAATGACAGGAGACAGGATTTCAGTGGAAAACTGCCCCAAGGGTGCTCCTGTATCATTTAGTTGGTTTGAAGGTTTACAAAGGACTGTACAGTTTACATGAATCGTCTCATTTAACGCTCTCCTCACTTTTCCAGTAATCCCACAGAGTAGGCATGGTCACAAATCCCATTTTGCCAGCAAGGCCCCTGACTCTTTAAGAGGTCAGGTCACTTGTCCAAGTCACAGCAACCGGAGCCGTGGGGCACAGTAGCCAGCAGCCCTAACCATTGGGCTGCACGGTCCTCGCCGACCACCCCGCAAATCTGTCAGATATAGGGGCCCTTGCAATGCCACCCCAGGAATACGAATCTAAATGGTCACAGTAACGCTCCCCCCGCAGCCAGGAGCATTTTTCAGTCATTTGCACCATTTCAGTCATTTGCACCAACCTCATTTGCAAAGTCCCCAGCCGCGGACAGTTGGGAAGTGTTGGGTGGGGGTGGCGGGGTGGGGCTGTGGGATGGGGGGGTGGGGCTGTAGGGTTGGGGAGCGGTTCCCGCTCTCCGGGCTCCAATAGCTGAGCCTCCCTCGCAAAATCCTTAACCGTTAGAGCCCACGGGTGCCAAGGTGGCCGGGACACTCGGGGGCTGCAGCCTTGGTCGCGGGGGGCCGGGAAGCGGCGTCCCTACCCAACCAGCCGTCGGAGGGGTCCGAGGAGGTCCTGGAGGTCCTGGAGGTCCCCGGAAGGCGTGCGCGAACTCTCCCGCGCTGGTCTTCAAATTGCGGACGTGCTACTCGGGCGGAAGGGGTCGGCATCCAATGAGAGGCGATGCCACAAAACTATAAGTACTTCATGGGCTTTTAAAGGGACGTTTTATTATACTTGCCTGGTATTATATGTGATCCTACTCTACTTAAAAGTTCATTGATAAACATCTCAATGAAATGAGAGTTCATTTTGGTCCAGTATATGTCTTTGATACTCTTG